GGAAATATTAAGCATATATAATAGTATCTCTGTACAAGTTAGTAATAATGTAATAATAAAACGGACTTGCACTGAAGATATGAGTTACAGATCAACAGACAGCAAGGCTAAAGATAGTTGGAAGAAGCTGAATTGTATGCTGAGCAAAAATAATTCTAGTAAAGTTATAGAACCACGGCTAAACAGACACAAGACAATGGCTAGAAGCTAAATATGTAAAAAACTAAAACCAAACAAGAGTAAACATTTTTGCTCTGTATTTGGAGAGGAGTAGAATGGTATACTTTCAACAAATTGATAAAATTTTATCATATGAGGACTACTATATTATTTCCAAAGGTAAAAAATGTAAATAATACTTGCTAGTAAACGTCTTTAAATTAGGTTGTCATAATAGTTTGTACCAAAACTAAGAAACACCCAAAATTTTCATATATGAAATCATAGTTATGTTGTTTGAAACATAAGTAGGCAAAGGTGTTTTCTTGAACAGCCGTATAGAGGTAAAGGATGAAATTTAATGGTTTTTGTTATACAGCATGTTGGGGTAGATGACATAACATCCCTTCTGACCTTAAACAGTAGTGATGTGAAAGCAGACAGGCATTGCTAATGTTTATTTTAAGGGAAAATGCTTAGCACCCAGTGATTTTCAAAGGAGGTGATAGAGCATTAGTGTAACAACAGGCAGTGAACCTAGTCAAGTTTGCCAAGTCCACCTCTTTCGTTTCCCATATATTATAATTTCTGCTTAAAATACAGAGCTGCTACTAATCACTTTTGCCTGTAACCACAACTTCTCACAATTTGACAAGTCCTTGATATCCTCTTACATTCTTTACATTATGAATCATTTGAACGGGCTCATATTCCAAGGCCACCTTTCTTTTATATGTAGATCAGCACATTTTAAATGCTGTAACACAAAGTATGGTATGTATGTATGTATAGGAATGTGTTTTAAAAACAGCATCTTGCTTCCATCTGTGCAGTTTTTATCATAGAAGAGCTTTGAATCAACTCAAAGGAATTTTGCCTTTGAGAATTTGAATCAAATTAATTGCAGTCCAGTAAAAAAATCAGTCTGAAAAGCAATGGAGAGGAGGCTAACAGTACTAGAATATAGACACTGTCAAGTTTGAAACAAAACAGTGAGCAATTTCTCAGAATGACAAAAACAAGGATTCATGGTCAACTAAAATATCTGTTGTGGTCTGCTAATAGGTTGTACCGCTATTGCCATTTTTGTAAATTTCCAAAGCTGTTATTTCCTTTTTAGGAGAAAGGAAAAGGAGGACTTGGATCACCACAAATTTTGTAATGCTTATAGTATGTGGTCTAACACTTTCCACTTAATGTGAAAGTGCAGGGTAGAGGCTGAACAAATAAAATTTCAATTTGCAGGAATGGAAGTCTTCAGATGAAAAAATAATAAGCACCTACAGCCTTCAGAATCTGGAACTGAATTGTTTTTAGTGGAACTCATTTAATGTGAGTCAGCCTTAAGTAATATTTTCAAAACACTGCAGGACTTCACAAAAACATTTAACTAATTAGTACTGGAAATCTGAGTCAATATCATGTTTATATTTATTCATTATATATAGGCTAATAGGCTATATTTCATTATTTAGAGATATGGAAAACATCATTCCTAAACACTATTCTACCTCTTCATAATTAAGGAGCTTGCTATATGTTTCCTATTGAATGGCCTTTTCCCTTAGTGAAGATATCGCTACCTTCTGCTGCAGGTAGTTGATTAAAATGAACTAACCTTCACTGAGAGTAATATTTAATTTAAATTATGAGTGAACAGTGCTGAAAGTCGCTATTGATTTTATGTGGCAATGTGAGAAGTTCCACAAGCACTTTTGGAGGAGATATATGTTCCTATGACCCAGATACCCTATTCTTAATTTTGGGCACCCAAATCTATTGATTTTTAGGATACACATATGTGTACCAGATGTGTACATAGGTTTAAGACTAAAAAGCAGCAGTCGATTTAAGTAATATCTGTTAGGATTTAGTACCTTGAGTCTTTTGGGAAAAAGGGGATGAAAAGCAAAAAGATTGGGAGATGTTTCCATTCATGCAGAGTTGCATAGAAGTTATAAAGAAGATAGTTTTCTAGGAGAGAAAAAGGCAGAAAGGATATGACTGATGAACGAGGAAAGAAAATAGTGACACTGTAGTTTAACAGTATTTGAAGGCTAGATTTCACCCACTGCAAACTAACATACTTACAGTGAGCTCTGCTTTCAGATTCTTTCACTGCAGCCTACCAGACTTCTTGGCCATCTCCAGCCACAAAAATAGGAATTAACAAGAAAGGTGTTTTGAGTCAAATAAAAGGAATATTTCTGTTCATGTATCACAGGATAAAGAAAACTAGACAAGAATAGGTTTTGGTCACATTTTCCATCAGATAAAAGTTAATAAATAAAGAATAAGATGTCCCTTTCAACCCAATGTACTCTATGATTCTTTGTGGCTTAATTATAAATTAATTTTCAGTTGTTGTAAAGGTGAAATACCAGTATGTCCTAACATCATCAGACCTGAAGCATAATCATATTTTGACTTAGATGTCATAAATGAATTTACACGTATATTTTTATATTCCTTGGAAATTAGCTAGATTATGTTCACATGTTGTTTAACAACTTCTGAGAGCTACCAAAAAAAAAAAAAAAGAAGAAATCACTTTCTGCTGTAGAAGAAGCCATACCTCCATTTGCTGGACTTTAGTCCCTACCTGCTCTCCCAAATAGAGGCTGCATGAGTCAGAACAGTAAGATTAGGAAAGCATAAAAAAATATGATGAAGGGACAGTATTAAATAATAGAGTGGAGTGATGGTAAAAATCTCATCAAAGAAAACAGAAAATCTATTGGTTTGTATCTTCTTCTTGGAAGTCACCTTGACTGTGCAATTTATATATGGGTAATTTAAAACAGTTGACAAAACAGGAACTATATGAAGGAAAAAATATCAGCTGAACTTTATGAGACTCAAGTTTTTACCATATGTTAATTGCACAATACATCATATTTGTTGAATAAGATTTTTCTACAAGTTATGCTTTGTTTTTCTGTTAATAGAGTGAGAAAAAAGTTCTATATTGGACCTAGAGAAATCAATAAACAACTGTTGCATAAATGTAACTGTACCAGAAACATATTAAGCCGGCATCATCCTGTATTTTCAGCCAGCATACAATTCTGTTTGTAATGCAAATGTAAAACTACACCTATTACCAAAAGAGCAAAATATGTATTAATTTTGTTATAATATTAATCTTGTTCTTCAAAACAAGTCTTTAATCAGAGAAAACACAGCTATTGCCTTTCCTGTGAATTTTAAGTCTTTTTATGCACATTATGTTGAATTGCTCAGCTTGCCGTTCCTTCTTCAGAGCAAGCCTCAGTACTGCCTTAAAGGGTATCTTTTAAAAAATCTTTTCTTTATGCCACTTGACCTGCTGAATGCTCCTGTTTATTACCCCATTTGCAGTCAAGGAGACAGTTTAGGTTTTCCTTGGTCAGCTGAAACCAGCGACGTAATTTTCAGAAAAGTATCATGCTGTGCATGAGAAACCCCATCTGGTCTCCATTCATCCACATACAGAGCAACAACAGCTTTGTCCACTTCTCCGTTTCTAGTTCTGATACCACACACACTTCTTCACCTACTTAGACTAATTCATCAGCGTAATCCCACTGATTCATATTCACTTATTTGCATCATTCAAACAGTAATGCAGTTATGGTCTGTCATCAGCATGTTTCCTGATGTGTAAGTGGTTCTCCCACACCAGGAGGACAGGCAGGGTGCCAGAACATCAAAAAGAGCAACGTTCACCCCCTACGGCTGCCACTGGCAGTTGGCATGCTGTCTGGAGCAAAGTTGTTGGGTAATTGTGCTACCGTGAAGGCACAGAGCTCTGCAATCCTTTGATGTCCTTCCTGTTGGTGAAGGGCGCTGAATTCAGCCAGTGTCCCAGTAACCTGCACTGGCACAGAGGCCCAGAGGCATCAGCAGTGGATTTTGGGAGGGAAGTCCGTATCAAGGCGCCTCTTCTTCAAGAAGCTAAGGTTCTCCAGCCCAGCCACATCACGCACCATGACTTTTCGTCAAGGTAGCCATTTGATAACAGATAAAAAAGCCTGATGTGTACCCACAGCAACTAGAGTCAAATAAAATTAAACACACAAGTCACATTTAAGCAGCTTGTGTCTTACATTTATCCCCATACAGCTTTATAAAGTAGAGTCTGCATCCCATAAAAAGGGAAGACATCCACCATTTAGAGGTAAGGAATGGTTCTTATGGAAACATTATAACCCACTTTAAACGGTTACTGTCTTAGTGCATTATTTTTTGGCACTGCCTGGTGAAAATAACATCTCATCTAAGCCTTAAGATACATTCTTGAACTATATCCATGGAATAAGAAACAGACAACTTAAAGCTGAGTAGTTCCAGATTCTGAAAAGCAGGAGAAAGCTATAAGTGCAAAAATGAACAAATGTATAAAGTGAGTTTACAGTAATTGCTGAAAAACCATTCCTGGGATGTGTTTTCATTAAACAAACATACATTCAACTGCCAAAGAAAATGTCCAGACCAAGTAAATTCTAATACTTTGCAGACAAAACTTTGAACTTGGTATTTAATTTTGCAGAAAAGGTTATAATTTAAAGATAATAATCCATCCTTGGTTCTGATACTTAAGCTAAAACATTCATTAAGTATATTTTACTGTGGATATAAAATAGTTAAAGAAAAAGCAGAAAAATGAATGAGTCACTTGGCTAAAAGGCACAGCAGCATTGAGGTCTGAGTGCTGTTTGTTAGCTCATGTCTAGCAGTATAAAATAATTTGGAAAGCAAAAGTCTGTTTGCAATTTGGTTTACAATCTACAATGTTTTCCCCCTAAAATAAAAAAAAATCCTTGTATAAGGCTATGGCTAGTGGTCTAAACTCTCTCAGGTTTGTGAAACACTGATTATTCTCTCATCCCATAGGAATAACAGATGGGTTGTCCTTGTGCAAAATATGGTATCCACCTGCACTTCATTAGAGAGCTGCATTTTTGTACATGCCACACCACAAGATCACCATGATGACATAGCAGCTTCAGAGAACAGCGTGACTAGGGCTTTTTTTTTTTTTTGCCTTTTTTTTTTTCCTCTTGTAACACAGAGGATCTGGCAGACTTTTACATCCTGACACTGTTTACAGCATATATTGGTTGATACAGTCCCTTATTGCATCTGCTCTGGGAATTAAAGAAAGCAGCTTCAAGGCAGTAAGGTAAGTGCTGCTGCATGTTTTAACTGTAATGTTCAGCTCTTTAAATGTAGCTGTAATGGAAATGTGAAAACATGTCATGATAAGTTTGCCAATTTGTAAATTGAACACAAATCAACAGTTGCTTAGTGGATTTGCTTTCTCCGTTTCCTTAAAACAACCTCACATATTTTGTGTACCAGTATTGCGCTTTTTTACAGTTTCCTTTGTTCTACTTCAAAAGAAGAGTTAATGTACAGTACAAAAAAATATGTAAGACTAGTCACTGCTTACTTATTCATTCATAATCTCTCAGTAAGACCTCCACTCCATTTGTTAAATAATTTTGCTTCATTTTACAAAAAGATAAGTTATTATGACATTTAGATAATCAATCAAGTAAACAATGATAGGAAAATTATAGGTATTTTGAATTATTTTTTATTTTAAAACACATTTTAAATATACTACTGAAACTTTAAAATTGAATCTTTTTCAAACTATATAAGTCGTTATGCTGCAGACAGAGTCAGTTATATTTATTTAGTTATATTTATTATTATTGGTGTATTTATTGTGTTTCACAACAACTTCAGAATTAAGGTAGTGTAGGCTAGCTCCAAAATAGCTTGAATAGTTTATCTGCTCTACTGTAGTAAGAATTTTTCCAAAATCATGGATTTGCCACTTAGTATGTTTTGACAAGTTGCCTGAGCAACTTCAGAAATATTTTCACAGATATTTTACAACACAACTAGCTAGAACAAACCCACACAATTAGTTCAGGCATGCTTTTACTATAAGATAAACATCTAATAATGTATTCTGATTTTAGTTTTTGGATTCATATAGCTCAGTGCAGCAAATAAACATGTGTGACAAAGCCTTTTACACTTCTGACAGATAGGTGAGCAAGAGATCCATGAATAAAGTAAACTAACTACACTGCATATATACTTTACTGTGCTATTTTATGTCACACACATGTTCATATGACTACAGAATTGTCACTTGAATTTTAAAATATTGCTGATAAAGTAATTCAAAACACTTGCTATCTAACTTTTCTAATTACTTCCAGGGTTCTGCAGAGCAGTTAAACGTTATATACTATTTAAAAGAACTGTCAGCCTATGATATCAATACTAGAATTTAGCATTACAGACATAATTTGAAACTAGAAGAACAATGGAATTTGAAGAAGGATGTTTATGCCACTTTATCAGTAGAGATCATAAAATGTTGCAGATGTGTAAAAATGTCACTGTAAAGCCAAATAGTGTAGTGTAAGAAGTTCATCCATTGAACATAGAAGTACTTAAATAGGACCAGATTTGGAGCTGAGTTACATCACTGTAGTGCCTGTGTGTTCAGAGGAGCTGTACTGATTTAGACCAGCAGGGGACTGGAGGTTGAGTTTGTGTGTTCTCATGCAGTAATGAAGAGGAGACAAAGGAAATTATACTGGTAACTCATACTCCAAAGATTTGGTTTGTAATTAGTAAACGTGATGGGATCAACGTGGAAAAGATAAGCAATTGTCCTCCTTATTCAGAGGACAGAAGCTTAATATCCAGCAGAGGGACTTTGTGGATAACTGACTGGAAATAACATGGGAACATTTTAAAAAAATCTTTGTGCTGTACTGCATGAGATCAATTGGCTCTATCTCGAGGTACTTTAATTGAAATTGTTGGCTGACTAGAACACAATGTGGCTTTTATCAAGTCAATAAAAGCAACAAAATTTGGAACTAGGGAAGACTCTCTAGTTATGGCCAAGCATTTTAACACTATGTACTCTGTGTAACACTAAACAATGCCACACTTACTCTTCTGGAAGATTGCCCAGATCTGAGATCAATGTCTGGTGGTCTGTTTGCAGGCTTTACATACTTTCTGAAATTCCTTGAGAACAAGAAGGTTCTAAGGATTTTCTTAATCATCTCAGTTTCTGAACAGTAGCTGAGTACACTGGGCTTCGTCTTTTATTATTGGTGAAAATCAAATTAAGCTCACTGATTTTAGTGATTCTAGACCCACTTTTCCACACAACATCTATCTAGGTAGTAAGGATAAAAGCAAGATAACAATCTGCATAGATTAGTATTTTGTGGAATATCTGATGAGAAGCATATGGCCTTGAAAAGTAAGGTGAGATCACTCACATTGGAGCACAACAAAACATCCACAAGGACACTGAATATCCTTTTGCTGTATGTGAACTGGAAGACCAACTATGTGAAGTCAACACTTTATTGTTCTGTTGATATAGAATGATCAGACAATGTAACCAACACATTTATTGTTACATATAGAATTTGCAAGAGTGTTTGCAATATCTGAAATTCAGTCATTTTAGATCCATATTATATAGAGTATACTCATGCATACATATGCAGTGCTGGTTGTTTGATATGTCCAGGAGAATATGCTATATATTTCTATTAGTTTGTTCTTTAGGTGAATATGAAACTTAGTCAACCATGCTTTACTGGACATGATCCATGAGAAAAAGATATTTCAAGATATAGGCATCTTAACAACACACAATACGGCCGATCATTGCACTCAGTTGTAGCCTCCCTGGCTTTTTCGAACTTCAGTCGAATTACTATATGAGGAAATTTGATATATTAGGAATGCTTGATAGAAATTAAATGTCATAACTGTCTCTGAACATGGCCTTCAGCAAAACTGAAAACTCTTGTGCGCCAAGTTTAGAATACTTGGACTTTATCATTCTTTTTGTGGCTTAATGAATGAATGCAGGAAGATATAAAGAATCTTTTACTTAAACCAGCAGAATAGCCTGCAAGTTTGCCTTACAAAGGTAGATTAAAACAAGACAGGGGTTGTAAGTTTATAGTAGTAACAATAAATTCTGACAGACTAATATATTGTTCTTAGTAGCTTTAAAAAGGAAACTGAAATTAGTTTTTTATTATAATATTTATGTGGCAAAATTTCAAATATTGCTGAAAGAGAAAAATTAAAGTTGTAACTTTTTTAATCCCTTTCACCATACAGGGACAAGACACATTGCAAAGATGACCTTAAAATCCCTACCTGTCTTTCTGGTATTGATTAGTGGCATTTTTTGCCATTATGACTATGGTCCTGCAGATGACTACGGTTATGATCCTTTTGGGCCATCCGCAGCAGTGTGTGCCCCAGAATGTAATTGTCCTTTGAGCTACCCTACTGCCATGTATTGTGACAATCTTAAACTGAAAACCATTCCAATTGTACCAAGTGGAATAAAATACCTTTATCTTCGAAACAATATGATCGAAGGCATTGAAGAGAACGCGTTTGATAACGTAACAGACCTACAGTGGCTGATTCTTGACCACAACCATTTGGAAAACTCAAAAATTAAGGGAAGAGTCTTCTCTAAACTAAAGCATCTGAAGAAACTTCACATTAACTACAATAATTTGACTGAAGCTGTTGGACCACTCCCCAAAACTCTGGATGACCTGCAATTAAGTCACAACAAGATCACAAAAGTCAATCCTGGTGCACTTGAGGGGCTGACAAATCTGACTGTCATCCATCTCCAGAACAACCAGCTGAAAGCAGATTCTATTTCTGGGGCTTTTAAAGGCCTGAATTCACTATTATATCTTGATTTAAGCTTCAATCGATTTACAAAGCTTCCGACAGGACTGCCTCACTCCTTACTCATGCTGTATTTTGATAACAACCAGATCTCCAATGTTCCCGATGAGTACTTCCAAGGTTTTAAAGCCTTGCAATATTTGCGTTTATCCCATAATAAATTAACAGATTCTGGAATACCAGGCAATGCCTTCAACATCACATCACTAGTTGAGTTGGATCTCTCCTTCAATCAGCTGAAGAGCATTCCAACTGTCAGTGAGAACCTTGAAAACTTCTACCTCCAAGTCAACAAAATTAACAGTGAGTTAGATTTTCTTATTTTCATTAATATATGCCACACAGTCTAGACGCTGACGGTCAGTGCAAATATCTGAAAGGGTACATCAACTAGACTGAAGAAATGGTACTGGTTAGACTGTTAGCGTACTGAAATCTTAAAAGACATTTACTGATAACTGCTCCAATTAGCCTCCAATTCCCTGGGAACGCTGTTCCAATGCTTAACAACCCCTTCTGTGACGAAATTTTCCCTAATGTCAAATCTAAACCTACCCTGGCACAACTTGAGGCCATTTGCTCTTGTCCTATCACTTGTTACTTGAAGAGTAACTTGCTACTTGAAGAGAAGAGAAGAGACTGACCACCACCTCATTACAGCCTCCTTTCAAGTAGTTGTAGAGAGCAATAAAGTCTCCCCTGAGCTTCCTTTTCTGCATGCTGAACAACCCCAGTTCCCTCCACCTCCCCTCACCACCCCTGGATGTATGTAAAAGGTATATAGATGAGGTGCTCAGGGACATGATTTAGTGGTAGACCTGGAATCACTAGGTTAACGGTTGGACTTGATGATCTTAAAGGTCTTTTCCCACCTAAATGGTTCTATGAAGAGAGAAATTTCTTTTTCGTATGAGTGTGGGTATTATTGGTTAAATTTTCACCTCATGTAAGTTGGAGTAACTCCATAGAAGCTAATGTAGTTGTCTCACACAACTGAGGAAAAAACAGTGGGAAAAGTTTGATCCGTGTGGAAGATGTCCAGAATTCACAAGTCGGCAAAAAGAGAGGTGTTAGCTGAGGACCTAACTATAGTATGTGTAATCTGTCAGGAGGCTGGTAGAAAAGAGATGAGGGGAGAAGAAAGGAAGAAGATAGTAAAATCATAAGGTATCAGGCATCAGGCACAGTGAATAAGATACAACAAAGTAGCTGACCTTTTCTTCTTCCCCCTTCTCTCATGCAGTATCCCTCCAAATCCACTTTGAAATCTAAAGAGCCGCCCCTGTTGTTTTTTCTTTTCATTTCCATTTCCTACTCTGTGGGATCAGCTGGCAAACTCATCTCCATTTAATCATGATTTGAAAAAAAACGTTCCTTCTGAAGTCAATAAATGTCACACCTTGTATGAGATCCTGCAGGTTTCTACTGAGACAGGGCTTTAAGAAGGCTGCCCTAATCCTGGAGCGGGATGAAGGTGTTGGAGAGCTGGAGAGGCCTCATCATCATGTCAGAAGCTCTGAAGCTGCACCTCTGTCACGGGTGGTCCCTGATAGAGAGGCAGATCTGCCAAACTGTTTCTGCAGGAGGACTTACATCATCTTGTAGCTGGCATAGAGTAAATCACAAACCCTGCTTTTCTGTTTGCCTGCTTGTATCCATAAGGAGTTAAGAAAATCAGTGTTAGCTATTCCATACGTAGCTAACTCCAGATGTAGTCTTTAAAGCCAAACATTTCAGTGCAGATCTTACCAGAGGGCAAGGCTTTTTAAACATTTTGCATTTATTATGCTTCACATTTTCCTCAATATTATGATTTTTTTTCTACTACATCTCAGTTCCTTGTGTTGATTAGGGAAAACAGTGAGTTAATGCTTCCCACCAGAGGTACCACATAAAGTGACTTGTAAAAGTCTATCAGATACTCTTCCTTTTCTAAAAGATCAAATAATGATGATGTTTGATTTCTGATGAGATATATGAGGCAATTGTCCCTGCTTAGAGTGGCAATTCTAAGCCTTCTGCAAGATACTCAGGTATCGAGTTTGTTTTCTAATCACATTTCTAAGGTCTTCTGAGTCAAGGACCGTGACAACAATTTAATTTTGCAATGAAAGCTCTATTTCCAGCATACTGATTAGGAACAGAAGGGGATGTTGTGAGGAGTGGTTGTGCACCAGCTACTGATTCACTGTCCTTTCTACCCTATGGACTGATGCAAAAGAACTTTGATTTACTGGGGCTTGCTTAACCATAAAAACTAGCAGACTTTAATAATAAATGTTCTTGTCTATCTAATGTCACAGGCATAATACTGTGTTCTGTAAGATGCTAAATGATGATGTGAGAAAAAATTTAGTTAGAAATAAGCAGTTCAGTTCAGTGAAGTATCAGATACAGGGTGATTAAAGCCTTTGCCTTGGTGATTAAAGCCTGACCTACGGCAGTGAGTGCTCAGTATTTCTAAAAATTGAGCTGATTGACTTTTGAGTATTTGAGCCTCAAATAAAGGACCAGTTTCTTTTTTTTTAACAAAGTGTTATCATTTGCTAGAGATTTGTGTAAGGATGACTGTAAACAAGGCCAGCTTTCCTTCCATACCACTGCCTACAGTACACATATATTGTGAGAGAGAGATTTCTGTATTAGCAGTAATGACAATTTGTCCTAAAATATATAAAAGGTATAACCTCACATACGTTTACACAGCTTGAAGTTTTCACTTATACGGAAACAACATAAATATATCTCTCTAGAGTTGTGAATTTGATACTATCTCCCTTTTTCTCGAGTACCTATAGGCTAGCAGTTGAATTTATATTTGCCTAAGGAAAAGTAATCTGTTCTAACCCTTTTTGTATTACCAGAAAAGAAATTTCTCTTAATTAATGTCCATTGATTTCATCCATGGCTTGCTGCAGTTATTAAGCATTACCATACACACAAAATTACCTGTTTCAGAAATATCCTAATTTGAGTACTTTGAGCTTTCTAAACCAGAGTTGTTGAATATACACATTAAAAAATTGTAGCAGGACTGGCTTCAATTCAATATGCTCTATCTTTATCTATGATGTGAGGAGCAGTGTGCAAAGTGGATAGCAAACTGGAATGAAGAAAAGGGTAACACTTCTCATCAATAACTAATAAATTAAATCACATCTGTTATACTGAACATAAGTTAGATATCAACTGTATATTTCACCTACTGCACTTGATGCTAGTTGGATCTCCAAGCTAGCACAGAGTCATGTTTATAAATTTTTATAAAAGCCTCTGCTTTCTCCATACCTCAGCTCTAAACTGTAACTTCTAAATTGAAATTTCTTCATTCAATATTTCTTATTAGTAGTAACTTAAGGGTGGATTTTTTTGCCTAATAACAATGTGGTTTGCTACCACGCTTTAAGATGCCATTAGGATTACATATAAATATATATGTGTATA